GTATGGATTACTTGGGTTGTTACCGACATCTGGTGAAAATTTCAATATATATACAGTATATATATATTATTTATTTTTATTTTTTTGGAAACTGTGGTATACAACCATTCAAAAATTTGGTATAAGTAAGATTTAAACAGTTGAGACAGTTGACGGTTGGCAGTTAAGACATTTATAATGTTAGAAAAACGTTCTATTTCAAACAAATGTTGTTCTTTTTCATTTCTGTTCATGAAAGAATCCTGACAGAAGAAAGAATCCAGAAATATTTAGCCGCAAAGACTGATTACAACATTGATAATAATAAGAACCATTATTAAAAATTAAAGTACCAAAAAGAATTATATTCTTATTCTACATGTATATGTATATTTGCAGGGACACATTATTTGGCATAAATAATAATCTAATCTGTCCTCACTGATAGACCACAGTGGCGTTTGGAGATGGGGTGCTGTCCACCAAGGACACCTGCATAGGGAGTGAGATTTGTGCTGAGCTGTGGAACCCCAGGAGGTAATGATCTGCAAACAATAATCTCATAAATTATTGTCTTAAATCCTTTCCTAATGTCCTGCAGAGGACATTTAGACATGTTTTTTCTATGTTATGCTACAATCTGGTGAAATAAAACATGAATGTAGTTCCATAAATTGCTTTTGTTTGAGAAATTAAACTTTCTTTTTCTTCTTTCTTTAGTCCACATGTTGACATGGGTTTAGATGGTATTGAGATCTTTACCAATTCCTCTGCAAGCTACCATGAGCTACGTAAGGCTGACCACAGGGTGAACTTGGTCAAATCTGCCACCACTAAGGTAAACAGATTATATTAATATTTCTGAATGATTTAAATCATATTACAATAGAAAACAGTTTAAATAGTAATAACATGTTACACTATTATTATCACTGCATTTATGAGCAAATAGATAGGCTACAGCCAACTTTTTACAGTACATATTAATGAATCCATATTCAAGTGGCCTTTGTAAAGATAGTGTCTATCTAGTGATAGTGTGACAATGAGCCTTATATATAGAATATGTTTGTTTCAGAGTGGAGGGATCTATCTATTTGCCAATCAGAAGGGTTGTGATGGAGACCGTCTGTACTACGACGGGTGTGCTATGATTGCCATCAATGGAGATATTGTTGCCAGAGGAGCGCAGTTCTCACTCAAGGATGTAGTATGTGCCAATTCACACTTACTTGAATATTGAAACTCGCCCAAGTGACTGTGATTATTAACATGCTGAAGATTTCAGTTTGATCAGTCAGATTTTTTCTGGCTTGCAGGAGGTTGTCACAGCCACTCTTGATCTGGAAGATGTTCGGAGCTATCGAGGAGAGAGGTGTCACCCACACATGGTGAGCAACTTTAAAAGACATCAGAGTTTGAAGTGTCAAAACATGCCTTAAATATTTTTCTTACTGCACAGGAATATGAGCACAAACCTTATCAGAGGATC